TAAGTAAGTAAGTAAGTAAGTAGGCAGGCAGGCAGGCAAGCAAGCAAGCAAGCAAGCCAGTAAGTAAGCAAGTAAGTAAGCAAGTAAGTATGTAAGTAAGTATGTTTGTATTTATGTACGTAGTTATGTATGTGTGTACGTGCAAGTGTAGGTGTATTTGTATGCATGTGTGGAAGGATGTATGTACGCGGGTATGTATGTGCGTATGGAAGGAGGGGAGGGTGGATGGATGGATGGATGGACACAAGTGTGACTTGTGTGCATGCATACATAGTTGTGTGGACGTACGTGCGTACGCATTTCTGCCTGAAAGGATGTATGTATGCACGTGTGCATCTATGTATATACGCTGTATTTGAGTGTGTGTGTGTATGTATGAATGTACAGTATGTATGTATGTATGTATGTATGTATGTATGTAAGTATGTATGTATGTATCTATATATGTATGTATGTATGTATGTATGTATGTATGTATGTATGTATGTATGTATGTAGGTATGTATGTATGTATGTATGTATGTATGTATGTATGTATGTATGTAAGTACGTATGTTTGTATGTGTGCATGTGTGTATGTATGTAAGCATGCACATATACACAAACCACATTTCGTTTCTAAGCTCATATATTCCTTTGATTTATCCGGTAACTATTTCTGAATACAAAGCCAGTGCACTTGCTTATGATGTACACAAACCATGTGAAAACATCAACAGCTTCAACCCCTGGACAAATTCGATGCCAAGAACCCCGAACCTTGCTTAGCCTATGCATTTCTTGTTTGAAGTTGGGTAGGAGGGGACATAGTTTCTGCAAAGCGGGTTATGTTGTGCCAGACCAACCCTCATACCGGGCCGACCCCATGCTTGACTTTCCAGGCAGGAGGACGTTTGCTACGCCAAAGACCCTACGACCTAAACCCTACACCCTAGACCCCAAAGCCTACGCCCTGTCCTTGATTTCATCTGCTTCACCGCAAATTCCAGCTGGGGCTCCCGCTTCTGTCCCAACCAGACCTGGACAAACTCAGACACAAGACACAAGGCCTGCGACCCCGAGCAAGACTAAAACCACTCCGGACGGCTGTGCCCTAAGATCAAGAGAGATCTGGCTGATCTATCGGAGCCTGGATTCAGACGACCAATAACAAGAAGAGGACACATGACAAGCTTGATACTGGTCAAAGCACATATCACAAAAACTACACGAAAGAAGCACAGTCTCATAACAGTCCACAGCTTCATAGGAACAAGCTTCATAGGAACAAGCTGAGCAAGCATAGCAGCCTTGACAGCATAGAACTGATATGCAGAAGCACGGCACGCACATTATTAAGATAGCATCAGTAACCGTCGAACCATAGCGTTGGCCGTAGCACCCTAAACCCTAAACTATACTTAGGGTGTAGGAGGGTTTGAGGGTGTAGGTGTACCCTCACCGCTCGAAAAGAGCATAATTTTGCGTATAAAGGCCCAGAAACCTCCCTGAACCCTAAACCCTAAACCGCTGAAGAAGAGACGAAACTGGTCAAGTTCCGGAAGATCGTGCCTCGGGTGCCAGGTATCCAGGCGTTCCGATTTGTGTCCAGGCACCAGCGAGTGCCACCTGCCCGTTTGCTCTTTGGGGCTTCGGGGCTGCAGGGTTTAGGGCTTTGGGGCTGCAGGACTTCGGTTCTATGGTTTCGGGCTGAAGACTGTGAGTCTAGTTTAAGTAAGGCTGAGGACGAAATGCTGGAAGCTTAGGGCTTAGGGTTTGAGACCGGGCATTTAGATCGTAGGTCTTAGGACTGGGGGCCACGGTAGTGGAAAACGGGGCAGTAGCTTAGGGCTTACGGCTTAGGGTCCACCGTAAAAGCCCCACCCTTCTCTCATCCCTAAATCTCACCCCTGAGCCGGCGCTCCAGCCTGTTTCTGATGGACTCAGTGCTCTCCGTCCCCACACAGGCCAGGACTACGGACGCGCCAAGGGAATGCTTTCCCGATCGGTCTTCCCAAAGCCCCAAACTTTATGTTCCCTGAGGTAGGCATTGTTGCCGGCACTTTTGGACACATTGAGATTAAGGACGGCGCCAAAGCCGAAAACCCTAAACCCCAACAGCCTATGCAACTGAGGACTCTCGACGGCTTCTGTCTGGGGAAGCATCCCGATGTCAGGTCAAGAGATCCTGCCTGATATGCCCAAGCTGAGCTGTGACGAAGCTTCGGGCATCGCCGAAGCAACCAGCTCGGGTTCTACGATTAAAGCAAGGAGGCTGCCTCAATGTATGATGAAGTCCATTTGTGGTTGACCCTGTTCTGTTCCGCAAATGTTTGGCGCTTGTGGTGTAAAGAGTTCAAGCTGTTTGGGCTTGGGTGCTTACATACGAATTTCTTAATCTAAACCCTACACCCGAAACCCTAAAACCCTAAAACCATAAACCGTAATACAGGTGCTTATGGCAAACAAAAATCCTGAGCGCGTTCACACATGAAGGCGCCCACTTGGAAAGAGGCGCTAAGCCCCCTGGCAACTACGACTGGTAACCTTACTTCCCAAATAGGCCAGGGAAATGAAAGGCTAAACTTTCGGATTACTACTAAGTAAAAAGAAGCCAAAAAGTTGAAAGGTTGGGTATTGGAGAACTAAGTAACACGGCCTGAGTGTTGCTAGTAATCGTCGTCGTAGTAGTCGTCGTAGTCGTCGCCATAATCGCTGCCGCCGCCATAGTCGTCCCCGTAGTCACTACCACCGCCATATCCGCATCCACCGTCACTGTGGCTGTCTTCGACCTCTACCGCAAAACCCGCCACTGCACACTCCCCATCGTCGCTATCTTCGACCGGCACCGCGAAACCCGCCACTTCGGACCCAACATCACTGTCTTGGGACTCGACGACCCAGCCACCCGGGGTGGTGTATGTTGTGTGGCCGTCTGCATCACATCTGTACGTTGAGCCATCTAGGTTCTCATAGCGGTAGGAGCCATCATCATAGGATTCGTAATAGTTCCCTCGTGAGTTGCGGCCGCTGCTCTGCAGCTGCGGAACAGAGTTCCTGAGCTCAAGGCACTACAACGAAACCTGAAAACCCATGTTCTTTGCAGATGCCTTCACAAAGTCAGGATAGGGATTTTGGGGGTACATTAATTAAACAATAGCTGTAGTAAGGCATCCTAAGGCATGATATTCATAATTATTCAGGTCTCTAGATTGCATCTCCTCCAGAATTCGTGATGTCATGGTCTCTTCCTGTGGTTCGCACAACGAGGCTCATGGCACTACCAAGTCTAGTGTCTTCTTCAAAGTAGCTGGACTTTGAAGTAACCAGGGAGAAAAAAGTATAGACAATGGTTCCTTTAAGGAACAGGTCCAAAAAAAAGTATTCAATTATGGTACTCCAGAACCCAGGTAGTGAAGGTTCCCATGACACCACGTACAGCTAAGCCGATCGGATTTCAACGTGTGTATGCACGATGGGGCTCGGCTTCTCAAGAATACATCTCGCTCCCACCACACCCCATAAGCATTGAGCTGAATACCTTATGACAGCTTCCCGGCTCCATGCCAGACGAAACTGAGGGTGCCATTCCTAAATCGTGCTTAAGACACTCTGCTGGCGCTACATCTTGAAACATGTCTTTGAGAGGCATCCAAAGGCAGCAAATACCTTCTTCGAGAGCAACATGGAAGAAAATACACTCTGCCTTTAAACGACAGTAGTCTACAGCAGACCCTGTATCATGCTCCCTAAACCCTAAACTCTAAACCCTAAACCCTAAACCCTATGTTACTTTGAAGAAGTCTCCGACGAGAATCCAAGTTGTGGCTTCTCCCAGATCGCGCCCAAACGCAGCCGAGATGGCCTCCCTGCGACAAGTTATGTTTATTTTACGGTTTAGGGTTTAGGGATAAAGGAGCTTTTATGATTGGAATAGGTTTTTGTGGTATTTCATGGCATAAGTACAATAAGGAGCCCCAAGGAATGACACTGGTAGTTCTTCCGCGCCGTACATCTGAGCACATGCTATGTCTCAGGCTTTGAGGCTTCGAAACGTAATGTGAACTGCTTCGGGTCCTTTACGGGTGTAGGCTTTAGGGCTTATAGGGTTTGGGGTTTTGGGTCTAGGGTTTGGCAGCCCGGGGTTTTTGAATCCGAAACGTCGCGGACAACTAACGACCCTAAAGTCCTCCGTGTCCAGGAAAATCTTGGCTTTCAGCAACCGGGTGCGCTTGATCCCTCCACAGTCCAAAAACCCTTAAAGCATACCTAAAGGGGACTCTTACAGCACCCTTAAGAGGAACCGTTAAAGGAATCCTGAAAGCTTCAACTAAACCGTAAACCGGAAACCCCGCTATGGAAGCAATCTAACTCCGAAAGACAGAGCTCCTGAAGTATAGCCTGGTCTTAAAAGGAACTCTTATGGCACCCTTATGTAAAAAACAACCCTTAAAGTTTCCCTAAACCCTAAATCCCAAACCCTAAACCCGAAACATCCCGAAACCCTAAACCCTGAACCCTAAAACCTTAAACCCTAAACCCGAACCCCAAACCCGAAACCCTAATTCCGACAGCCAGGGTTCCTGGTGCTCCCTGAGGAGTGACGGACGGTCGGAGCCTGTCGGCACTGCATCCGCTGGCGGTGATTTCTGAGGTTTGTGGTTTCAGGCCGTTTAGGGGTTTCGGGTTTAGGGCTTAGTGGGCTTAGGGTTTGTGGCTTCGGGTTTAGGTTTTGGGGCTTGGGGTTCGGGGGTCTTGGATCTCAGGCCATAACGAAAAGGTGCCTGAGGCCCGGTCTTATACGGTTTAGGGTTTAGGGTTTAGCTCGTTGAAGTCTGGTGACTTCTACGCTGGGGGGGGGGGCACAAAAGCGCATGTAATTTGAAGGATGCCCCACGCGAAACGGGGATGCTCCAGTTGATGGTCGCTTGAAGGTCCGACCGTTCTTGCCATCTTTGGCTAACAGTGTTGGAATGCATGAATCGGAAGTAATCCCACCCACCTCCCGGGCAGCACCCTAAACCCCTAAACCCTAAATTGTAGGCCGCACAACCCTAAACCCTAAAACCCTAGAACCTAAGCCCGTGCTGTCGCCTTTCCTGAGAGCAAACAAGATCAACCGGCCCATAATGTCTGAACATCGGCAGAATATCAACTGCAAGACTGGCCCCCATGATACTTCTGAGGGACAAAATTCTGCAATACCTTCTCTACCCGAACCTGGCGGAACTGTGGTATGCTCTTTGTTATGGATCATGAAATAATGGGTCCACCAGCCATCGCAGAAGCCCTTCATAGACACCCTTGGAGATTTCCTGATGATGAGCCGGATCCAAGAAGATTCTTTAAGCCCTGGTTGCACATCCTGAAGGCCCTTCATCAAGGCTTGCTTAAGAAGAAGGGTTCTGCCCCAAGGTGCGCATCGTCACTCCGCTTTAGTACACGAAGGAACCCTAGAGGTGGAGCGCCGTCGTTTTGAGCAATCATCCAGAAGAAGTAAGGACCAATGTCTGGCCTGTTTTGTGAGTCCTGCAGACTGCGAGGCTGCCCTCGCCGGGGAGGGGGGCAGCGGCGAGGAACGGGGAGGGGGTGGAGGAGGCGGACGTGATGGCCCACGGCGGTCCTTGGTTTGCTTTAGGGTTTAGATGGGTTTAGGGTTTTGGGTTACCTGGCAGGGTGGATGCGGGGTCGTAAAGAATGGTACTGGCCGGAATTGCCGTGAAGATCGTATTCCAGACAATCATGGCAAGAGTACACAACGCTGGTACATATGGTGGTTTGCATTTTTAGGGACAAACAGGATGGCAACATGGTGATCAAGAAAGCCAAGTAGAAGTGATAATCACGCGGGCGATGACAACAGTAACTCTCATATGATTGGGGCTAAACCATAGGAAAGTGAGAGGACCTAGCAGGTTCTTTGAAGAGAGCGTGGCTTCTCATGTTGTCGGCTTTCAGGGAGCGCAAGGCCCAAAACCTTGAACCCTAAACCGCAAAGCACTAACTTTAGACCGTATGCTTAGATCCGAAATGCCCGAAACAGCAAACCCTAAACCTCAGACCCTAAACCATAAGTCTTAAAGCCCTAAACCCTAAGTCTTAAGACCTAAACCCAAAGTCTTAAAGCCCTAAACCCTAAGTCTTAAACCCTAAACCCGAAGTCTTAGACCCTAAACTCTGTAGGATTGAGGGTTTAGGGTGGTGGGTGTAGGGTTTAGGGCTTAGGGTGTTGGGTTTAGGTTTAGGGCTAAGGGTGTAGGGTTTAGGTTTGGGGTTGAGGGTTTTGGGGTTCAGGGTTTAAGGCTTGGCAGCTTTCTCTTGCATGCCCTGAGGTATAATGTAGGAACCTGCTCTGGAGTCGTCCGGGCCCCCTAACCGCTGTACATATATGTATGTATGCATGCAATCCATGCATGCACGCATGCATGCATGCATGGATGGATGGATGGATGGATGGATGGATGGATGGATGGATGGATGTATGTTAGGATCGATAAACAGGACCCTGATAAAGACCCGAGGTTTCTTAATCAGGTTCCTGTATTGGGGAACTACAGTGAATTTCTGATTATGGATGAGGCGAGGCTTTGGGTCTTGTCCATCCACTGTTGCATAGACACTGAGAGCAAGAGCGCAGGAAGCAGGCGCAAGCAACGTGGCGGGGGCTTTTTGAATTTTGATCGTGGGAAAGGCGGAGCTGAAGCGAAGAAGCAACACGTGGGCCACCACCCTCGACGCCAAATGGCCGAATCAGATTTAGCAGCTGTCTGGAACAGTTGGCTTTGAAGCAGTCCCAAAACTGTGGTGGGAATCGAATACATGCTACCAAGACAGGAGCTTCAAAGCCAAGCCCTGATGCAGAATACACGAGTCACATACCTGCAATAGATTCGGCCCAGAGCCCAAACCCCGCTCGATATGAACAGACAAAGAAGCAACCCCAAACTAAACCCTAAAGCCCTAACGCTCAACCCTTTTAGCGGACTCTCTGGGTAGGCCCGGATGAGTCGGTTTGAGTCAAGGCTCCGGATCATACCGCTTGGCCTGGGGCACTGTGTCCTGCCCCACCCGACCGTACCTCAGTGCCGCTGCGCGGTACTCTACGGTACTGTCTCGCGTCGGTTCTTGTTTTTTCCTTCGTGGGACTTTGAAACAAAAAGCGTTAAGGACCGTACTTCGTGGGATACTTGCGGAGGTCGATGCCCTCCGGATGGACAAAGATCTGACCGTCCTTGCGCTGGCCATGGCCCGGCCGGACCTTCAGCTCCTGCTTGGGAATCTCGCAGCGGATGTAGCGATCCATCTTACCATGCTCCATGGCGGTTTTCCATCCACTATCCCAATTATTCTCGGCGATGGCTTTAGCCCGGGTGGATGGTACGAGGTTGGTACCATAGGTGCCCCTCCCCTCCACGGCATCCCCCTTTTTGGGGTCGGAGACCCCAAGGCGCCCTTCCTTTAAGATGCCCTCCAAGCCGGGACCGTTGGTATAGTGGTAGAAAGGAACGGACTTCGACATGGCGACGGAGAGACGGTGCGATGCCTGGGAGCCGAAACCTTTGGGCGTTCGGAAGCAGAGGAGTTCATGGGTTTAGGGTTTGGGGTTTGGGGTTCATGGGTTTAGGGTTTGGGGTTTAGGGTTTGGGGTTTAGGGTTTAGGGCTAGTCAAAGTCGTGAGGGTCAGGGAATGAATTTAGCGTCAAGTAAGTAAGGTTGCAAACGACCACAAGGGCTTTCAGTAGCTGTAGTGATAGACAAGCAATCCTTGGGTCTCGGAGACTGGCTCTAAGGTTACCCCTCCAGAACTGTTACCCTTGGCATCTGTTTCCGGCTTGGCTATGCAACCACGGTACGGAACTACAGTCGGAAAGCACGCCAGGGATCGGGGACTAAAGCCATTCTGCTGTTTGAGCTGCACACAGCAGGCTTTCCGTGAAGAGATCCTGTAGTTCACAACTTCTAACTAAAGCTGGTACATCCGACATCCTCCCTGCCCAGACTCCCAAACTTGTAACCTCCGAAGTCGAAAGTCCGAAGTCAAGGAGAGCACCAAATTGACAAAAAAACCACCCGAAGCCTTAGACTCTGAACCATCTAGAATTTCGAGCCCTCTTACAGAACCCTTGTCAGCTTACAGGACACGCTTTATAGAACCTTGCATACATCCTAAACGCTGAACTCGGAAGCCCCGAAACCCCCTAAACTCCTAAACCCGAAACCACTAACCTCCAGACTGCACCTTGGCGATGCCCAGATCGCCTAAGACGGCTGTCCGCTCATCCTCCGACAAGAAGATGTTCCTGGCAACTGCTCCGGATGGCTTCAGGGCTTCAGGTTTTAGGTTTAAGGTTTTAGGGTTTAGGGTGTAGGGCTGAGGGTTGTTTAGGTTTAAAGCTTCAGGGTTCAAGACCCTAAACCCTAAACCGCTTAGGGTTGAAAACATTTCAGGTAGTAGAAGTTTAGGGACCGGACCCTTCAAGGCTATCGGGATCCAGGAGCTTCATGGCTTCAGCGCTCGGGGTTTTGGGTTTGGGGCTTGGGGTTTAGGGTTTAGGGCTACATCTTCGACCTGCCAGACAATAGAAATCTCCGATGAATCTGGTCTCATTGTTGGGACCTCGATACTATGGACTCTGCAGCCATTGGGTCATAAGGCTTATTGATCGGATCTTCGCGCGTGGAGACTCTTAGATGGGAAAGTGGTCAATGGAAAACGCCATTCAAGCGCGCAGACACATGTCACAGGAGCATCTGCATGCACATGCAGATGCCTCAAGACAAATAACCCGTGCATCTGCACATTCACAGTGCACATCACATCACACGTGTAGAAACATCGTGAGTGTGTGTATGTATATATATATATGCATAGACATATGCATGTACGTATACATGTAGACATATAGTTACATCGAGAGAGAGAGAGAGAGGAAGACAGATATAGACAGATAAACAACACGTGAGCAAATATTAACTAAGGAAAGTTGGAAGCAAGCAATCAACCAAGCAAGCAAGCGATAAACAAACACAGGCAAGTAAACAACGACATGCGCTGTTCATGTACTATCTGCATCTGCGGGTGCAGGTGCATGCACCTGCACGAACATGCACACGCACGCATATTATAATATGCAGTTTACATACGTGCACGATTGTGCAAGGGCCTCGGCATACAACAAAATGCAGATACAGGTACATGGGGTCCACGTGTCTGGTGGCACACGCACCCAGACACATACTACACCGTGATACCATAGATAAACAATTACAAAGGTGGGCGGCTGAATAGGACGATGTAAACTACCTCTTGTCACAGTAACATTATATACGCTCTCTGCGGTCTGGCCAAAGGCATCGTGCTGCAATGGTAGACTGCATCATGCTAGCCCAAGCCCTCCTAAAGCCCAAAACATGATTCCCGAAACCTAAACCTAAACCTTAAAGCCTCAAACCTGCAAGCCGTTGAACCCTGAACGACAGAGCTTAAACACATGGCCACCTCAGCTGCTAAACCCCTGAGATCCTAAACCCGTCAACCCTTGATCTTAAATTACACCCTAAAAGTTTTAGGTTTAGGGTTTAGGGTTTAGGGCCTCCAGCCAAGCATAAAACCCTGAACTTTATAAACCCTTTACCCACAACAAACCGAGATCCTAAACCTCGACAAGGCCCATGTGCCCTAAAGCCCTAAAGCCCTAAGCCCTAAATCCCTGAAACCTAAGCCCTAAACCCT